ACGCCCGTAATCGCGGCCTCCGTGACGTGTACCCGCTGTGTCATCGTATCCGCAACAGCGTCTGCCAACTCTGCCACCTTATCCAGCGGGGTGTCCCGCTGCGTGGCTAAAATCACCTGCATATTAGCAGGTAGTCGGCCCATCCAAAGCGTCCGCAATACACCGTCCGAAAAAGCCGTACCGGCCAATCCGCGCAGGTGACGAAGAAATTGAGACGGTTTTCTGTCCCCGATTTCCTCGTGTTCCAATAACCGCCGCGTTTTCTGTTCCTGCGACGCACTAAGCCGGCGAATGAACTCATTTTTAGCGTCGTGTACGGATCCGCGGCCGGGGGATCATGATAATGTCTCTTACTTCCGCGGCGTGTCGCGCACTTAACGCGCCGAGAATGTACCCGAATTTCGTGGTCTCCGACGTTACATTGGATACCTCAAAACTTCTCTCTACCATTGAAAACCACATCTCCGGGTCTCCCGGACAAAACTCGGGTATCCGTACAGCGACGCGATCAACTGCCAACGGCACACCCGCGGATGTCCCTGCGTTAACGTTAGGGTCAGTCATTTTACCAGTCTTAGTCACAAAAAAAAATAGTTTCACCGCACACACACACCGCGCTTACTATTTGTCAGACCGTGTCCTTTTCTTATGTCCTTAACACTATACACTTATTTCTCTACACTAACTAATATTGTCCGTATACAAAAAATGTCCAAATTTTCTTAAAAAAACTTTACTTGCGCGGCGAGATCACGTCGGGGTCACCAATGTGGGATCGGGAAGATAATGACTCCGCTCTGTTCCGTTCCGCACAATTTTATTGTTGCTGTCGTACAACGACGTGACTCGTGGTGCGGGTTACGCTCGACTCTCTGGTACGATCATCGCCACCGTACCAAGAGGCCTTCAAAAACAAAAGACGGTCAGAGACGACGACAACGGCTTTTCGGCTCACGCGGCTCTGGTCGTCTCGTGTGCAACCATCGTCTCGTGTGCAACCATACATTGTAGCGGCTTCGAACGGCTAAGGCGTATGTGGTGCCTTGGCCGCCACAGTACTGTGCGAAACGCCTTAATAACTCGCATCAGGCCCGTGCACTGTGCACCCTGCAACCTCTTCCTGTTTGCTTCAATGTTGGCCCATCTTGCCCATATAGGTGCAGCATATAGTAATATGGACTCGAGCACATAATAATATAATAGACTAGTTTTGTGTCCCGCCCCCCTAGTATTCGGAAGTATCCTAGCTAATGCAGCCATGGTTTTAGTGCCCTTGTTGGTGACCTTCTCCAGATGTTGTTTGAAAATTTGGCTCCTGTCAAATATTACCCCCAGATACTTAATCTCATTCCCCGGATAAATATCCTTCTGCAAGATCCTAATCGTGAAACCCTGTGTTCTTCTCTTTTTATTTAAAAACATCATCTCTGTTTTCTCAGGCGCAATTTTCAATTTACTGTCCTCGAACCACCGTATTAATAATGTGATGCTATGATCAATCTTTTGTTTCATGTCCTCTAACGTATGGCTGGAGGCAACCAATGCCAGGTCATCTGCAAACGCCAAGGTCTCACATCCCCGTGGCAGTTTTAGCGCCAGCACTCCGTCGTATGCGATATTCCACAGAATAGGTCCAATAACAGATCCCTGCGGAACACCCAGATATGTACCCCTACTAGCCCATCTGCCTTCATTTTTAAAATATATCTTCCGATCATGTAAATAGCTAACTATAATCTGCAGTAGGTACGGAGGTAATCTTTTCCGCCTGCACTCCTGTACAACGAGCTGGAAGGGTATGGTATTAAACGCGTTTTTGACATCTAGTGTGACCAGCAGACAATACTTTTCTTTATTCTTGGCCTCCTCAGCTATGGCCATGACCCCCCTTAGTGCTTGCAGGGTGCTGCACCCCCTACGAAAGCCATACTGCCTTGGCGAGAGACCACTAGGTCCCAGCGCAGCCACGATCCTAACTTTCAAAATACACTCATATAGTTTAGCCCAGTGGCTTATTAAGCATAGCGGCCTATATGCCGATGGTAGTAGAGGGTCTCTGCCCTCCTTATATAGTAGCACAAGCCTCTGTCTTTTCCACCTAGTGGGTACAACACCCTGCAATATACACCCATTTATTAAACTTACAACTAAACTAATCCTACGCTCAATTGTGATTTTGACAACAATTCCAGGGACACCGTCGTAACCCGGCGCCTTATTGGGGTTCATCGTGTTAGCTGCCTCCCTGATCTCCTCCGCAGTGGTAAGTTGCAGCCCAGCACGTGCATATCCAGCAACATCGATATACCTGTTTAAATTCCCTACAGGTCCTACAGGAAAAAGCTCATCAAGTACCCTCGTCAGATGCCCGCTAGAAAGTTCCGGTGGATCCTTCCTGGGTTTAACCGCCTTCATAACTGCTTTGAATGGTCTCCCCCATATATCTCCTTCCACTGTACCACATAGCTCACGCCAGGCTCTGATTTTGCTTTTCATGATTTCCAGATTAAGCGCTTTCCTGTTGCTTCTAAACGCGGCCGCCAGCAAGGTCGCCTCTGGCCGCCCCCTCTTAGCAGCCCTCTGATATCTTCTACGGCTAGCATTCGCTCTTCCTCTCAATTCCGCGATCTCCCTCGTCCACCATATTTTAGAGGGTTTATTGCATGGTGCAGGCCTTCTTGGCTCCATGGACGCCGCACAAGATGTCTCGAAGGCTTCAAGGACCCTATCAACATCGCTTGGACCAAGTGGCTGCGAAAAGTCCACTCCATCCGTCTCCTCGTCAAGCTTCCTCAACATCCTGTCCACCTCGAGTGAGCTAGTCTTCCACCCAAGTACTTCCCTACTCCGCCCTGCCCTGTTACCCCTAAACTCGTGCCAAACGTACAGGTGGTCCGAGGCAGAGTACTTTGTAAGAACCTCACTCGTGGTGAGTTCACGCAATATGGCATAATCGCACGCAAGGAAGTCAATTTTCGAACATCTCCCAGCATTTTCGAACGTATGTGAGCCGCCACTGTTCACCGCCACCAGTCCCATTCTAGCCAGTGCATCATGCAGAACCATTCCCTTGGGATCCATAGCATTGGACCCCCACGCAGGAGATCTCGCATTAAAATCGCCCATGATTGTACACCTCGCATTCCAGCTCCTCCGTGCCGTTTCAAGGTCATCTATCACTTCCGCGAAAATCTCTCTGTTGTATCTCGGGGGGTAGTAGCAGCTTACTATTTTAGTTTCCCCTATTTCAACTGCAACATAACCATTACCCTTTTCCGTTTTATCCTGTTTATGCCTTTTGCCATTGAACGTCGTAACCCATATCGCAGCCCTGCCCGTGGTGTCCACTTCCCAATTTGCTGCAATACGGTAGGGCTCAGCAACCGCTACCACATCTGCTCGCATTTCCTCGGCTGTTCTAAATAATAGGTCCTGCGCCAGTCGACAGTGGTTCAGATTAATCTGAAGGCAACGCATCCCGGCTCAACTTATTAGGCTTGCTCTTGTTGTTGGCCCTGTTCCCCCTCAGAGCCTCCTGGTAACGTGGACACCGGAAAGATCCTGCCACATGCCGTCTACTGTTATCCGGTAAACCCCTTCCTTGACATAGGATGCAAGACGGCACATTGGTACAAGTACTCATAACATGCCCTTCGTTTCCGCATCTCCTACATATCGTCACACCCTCCCCCTTATTGGTGCAGTCCGCCCCCATGTGCCCGAAGTCATGACACCTGAAGCATCTAAGCACTCTAGGCGCCACCCTCACTCTTGCCGACATATAGCCGATTTTGGCCCTATCCTTTGTCTCGATTTTGGCTGCCAGCGCCGCTGGTGCCTCAAGGATCGCCAGTTGTGTACCCATGTATGTTGTCCTCAACAATTTGACTCGCACTTCCCCCCTGTCTGCGACGTCATATGCCTTACAAAATCCCTCGATAATCTCCTGTGTATCACAGATGGGATCAAGATCCCTAATCTGCACCTCCACTTTAGGCACCATCGTTCTAACGCTGAAACCTTCGCCGAGCCCATTATGAATGGCCTCAGCTCCTTTGGCGGCACTTCCCGTCTTAGCGTATTCCACTATAAGGTCCCCCTTCCTCGACCGTCTCACCATTTTGATATCGTTAAGGCATCCTTTAGCCTTACTAGCTATCTCCTTGAACACCTCCGCATACGTTTTTTCCCCAGCTGTAACGCAAATGGCCTCGTTCCTGGGTCCCGTGCGTCCAACCCCTACCCTTGGTTCCTTAGCCCTTGCTCCTCCCCTATTTCCCTTTCCTGACTCTTCCCTCATTACTCTATCCTCGTTTGCCCCCGCTCCTAGTGGTACCTTTTGTCCCCGTGGCGTCCCCTCTGACCCTTTCCTCTTTTCTTTCCGCCTATCAACAATACTCCATTCCCCCGCCTCATTGTTTGCCGGCCCTCTTCCATTCCTATTAATATCCCCCATACCGCTGCCATTAGTTTCCCTGCTCTCTGTCTTTTCCCCCTCCTCATCCCCTTCACCTATCTCATGTATAACGTCATGGCCCAGTTCCTCTTTACGTCTAACCCTCCTGGTCAACACGTTGTGTTCTATCTCTGTGTTTGGCGACCTGTTTTTGCGTTTACTGACGCTGCTAGCTTCCTCCCTTCTACCTATCCTTTTCCTAAGTTCGCCCATCTCCCTTTCCCTCTCCTCATCTCTTTCTTTGATCCTTTCCACCTCCTCTCTCATTACTCTTTCTCTTTCCTTCTCCCTATGTCTGATCTTTTCCATTTCCAGCTCTCTATCCCTATCTCTCTCCATCATCTTTTCCATCTCCCCCCTCATACTCCTAAGCTCTTCTAAGGTCCGTATTTCCCTGGCCCTACTATCCTTCAAACATTTCTTCAGTGCCTTGAGCTCCTTATACACGTCACATATCGTACTTTTCGCCTCATGGCTAATATGCTTCTCCGTCGTCAGATACATCCCCACCCTTTTTACCCCCCGATAGACATTCGTAACCGTTTCCCTGATTTGTCTATCCTCACCACTCTCCTGTATGGAGCCATCGGCTTCCGACTCCGTCTCCGACTCAGTCTCGTACCGTAAAGCCACCCCCTTGCTTAGACTGGTGTTAGCCATCCTTCTGACCGGTGACCTAGCCACCATATTCCTTGCAACAAACGGGTCCATGCCCCCCCTTGGTTGCACCTCCTTATTCACCCTAGTGGGCGTGAGGAAGACTTCATTCTCATCTGTCCAATCAACCGCCTCCTCTGTTTCCCTATCCTTGTCATTCTTCCTGTCCATAATCATTTTCGTGTCCAATGTCAATCGCCTATTATTACCCTTGTTGTCCATTCCTTTATCGCCCAGTCGCAGAGATCCCCGCACCAGCCTGGGTTCCACCAGGTGCGTTGGGCAGTCATCGGTTGACGACCCGGAGTGGCCTGTCCCGCACGCCACTACCCGAGCCGGGACCTGGGGCTCCGATCACCCCTGGTCCGGTAACGTTATCCTTTGTGTTGTCCATTTTCATAGTTATTAGTTGGCCACCATAGCACACTGGGTCGGCCATGCCCAGTGTGCGTGTGTATGTACGTGTATGCATGTAATGAAGTTGTGTGTATGTTATGTGAACATGAACGTGTACGTGTAATCATATATGCTCATTGACATATGCCTGTGGTCCACTGGGGACCAATCTGGCTTGTATACAGTGTTATAGCACCACCGAAGGATGATTACGACATAGGGCCATGACCGATGTAAGTAATTTAAAGTTGAAAGTATAATAATAATATGACTTACGTGGCTGAGGTACAGGTATAGGTATAGGTATAGGTATCGTACTTATATGGTTATATATATGTTTAGCTAGGCTGTATAAACATTTGTCATTTGGCCTATATCGTTTCGGTGTGTACTGTTCTACGTCTCACATATGGTTCCGAGCTGTGTGTCGCGTCCCGTTTCGGTACTCACCGCCGCCATCCTGTCTGTACTGTCAAACTACACCAAAACAAACATGGCTACCGTAGCACACCACTTGCGTGCTCCATGCTCAGTATTTTTCAGGTTACGACGCGTAAAAAGCCATAGAAGCTAGAAGTACAAACGTATCTACACCATCTATGATTCTATCGCTGAATACATTGTTAATTGAACAGTTTATCTCATGGGCAGTGAGCTGTCGTCCCTTTACTCTATTCCATATATTATTCCCAAGTATTACCTCGTACTTGTAAAATGTGAGTAGAAGTGCATCTAGTAAGTGTATTAATTAAGATACCACTAGTAAATTATGTACTTATATTTTGCACTGTTTAATTATTATTCCTTGTTATAATGCTATCTTTAATTTTAGTTTTAACTTCCTAATTAGCTTTATATTATCCTACAGTACTTACTGTGCTATTACATTATGTTATATTAAAATTTTATAGGATGAGTATATTAGGATATATATATTACATTTGGTTAAATTCCAATCCCTCCCGTCCTACACCATAGACCTTTATAAATTTACTTGCTGATCAACTTACTATACCTGTAACTGCGTTGAAGGTTTTAAGCTATATGCAATTATGAATCATATAGATGTAGCTAGTAAGTGAAAATAGATATAAAATATATAATCCTGTAAAATGTGAGCCGTCAACTTCTCAGATGATGTGACAGCCGTGCCATTCTTGTCTATTATTTGAGGTCACCTTCTTCGGCATCTGTCCTCCTGTGCAATTTGATTACTTTTGTGTATCGTTCGTTCCACCATTTTTCGCAGCTGTCACGCTGCCCTAATATTAATAATGCGCCGGCGCGCATTGACGTCATCCCAGAGCGTCCCCGCCACGCACCGGCCGGCACACAGTTATTACACGTCATTTCCTATCTACCATGTGCTCTTTCCACCGCGTATCTGTTACAATCATCCTATTACGTACGCGCATGTGCGGTGACGTCACCTCATCCTTCTTTACGCATCCATGTGTCGCACTCAGCGACGCCATCTTTGCTCTCTCATGTTTCTATTATATTATATTATCCTTTTCACACAGGGTACTCACCCATGCAGCATCCGCTCCCCCACTTGCATCGTATGCCTTGTGCGTCGCCCGTCCTCATCTCACTTATCTCACTTAATCCAATTGCAATAATTCTCATCTGCCACTGAACAATCAACCGCCATTTCCCACGTCACATATTCACTCCTTAATATTTCACTCACTATCAATCAGATCCTCACCATCCGTTGACATTGCACTCCAAACCAGTGACACAATAACCGTACCCCATCTGTGGGGCCCCCTCCCTGACTTTTCTCCATAAAAACCGCCCCTTGTCCGGAGCTCTGAGGACACACGACCGCACTCTCCAACGTCCAGCGGGACCCCAGACCTAACCCAGACCTAACCCAGACCTAACCCAGACCTAACCCAGACTAACCCAGACCTAACCCAGACCTAACCCAGACCTAACCCGGACCTTACACACGGGACACTTGCACACGGGACACTTGCACACGAACGAGACAGGGACTCTTGTTTGTTGTGTTTGGGATATGTTTTGTTGTTTTCCGTTACTACATATTCTCTGTATTTTATTTATCTATCAAGTTTACTTATTTATTTATTTGCTTATGTAGGTGGCTAACGGGCCCTTTACAAGCAGGCCAGGTCATGAAACGGTGACTGTGACGAGGATTGTCACGTACATGCGCCCGACTGATATATACCATTTATTTAAAATATATATCATCGTTATTAAGACTGGGAGGGTTTATTTCGGGCTCCTGACAACGTCCTGTTTCCCTCTATACCCTCCCACATTTATTTATTTATTCGCTTACTTTATTATTTCTGTATCTACACACATCGTTATTTAGTCATGTATCCTTGCATTATTTATTTCTTTACTTCCCTGCTTCCTTTTCTCTCTTTACAGATTACCCTCTTACATTCCTTTACGTATTACTTACCATGTTATATGCTACTGTCTATTAATCACACGCTTACTTTCATTACTTATGCAAATTTCATTTATTACATCTTACATTTTGCATATATATATATATACAATGTCATCACATATTTTATGGAAACTGGAGTTATATTACCACATCGCATAGCTATTTTATCTCTCGCATTACACTTTATTTTTATTTCATTTTACTACTATATTTATTCTAGTCAAATTACTTCTTTACTTATCTATTTACTCATTTTGCATCTATTTATAATTCCATACTTTTAAGTTATTTATGTATACATCCTACTTACCAGTTTTATTTATCTGGTGGCTATCTTTTATATACAAGTTTTAGTTTAGTTTCTGAGCTAGCATTGTTACAGGATATTATTTCATTCCATAACCATAGATATAGGCGACTACTATATACTTTGATTATAACCGCCGTATTATTACTCGGCCTATTTAGTTCCGACTGGCCTTACGCCTCTATGGTCATTTTTCTGGGTCCCGACAATATGGCTTTGTGCGTTTTGTATGGTATTTTCATAGTTTTTACATACATTTTATATAGTTTTACATTTTATTTTACATTTTATTTTTATATTTTATCTTTATTTTGTACTTTCTACTTGTTACTTTAATTTTACTTTTATTGTCTATTCCATTTTCTCATTTGCTATTGCTTTATTTTGTCTATTAGGTGATAAAACTCTCCCCGCTCTGTATACTTATTTACTTACTAATTTATGTATCGTTATACACGTACTTATTCTGTATTCATTTATTTATGTACTCATTTGTCCTATCTATTCATTATCTATTTATTTACTTATGTTTTATGCACAGATGCCTTCATTTACGGTTACTATACCATACTATCCCATATACATTATGCTATACAACTTCCCATTTATTTACAAAAAACACCTGCATAGTCATTACGGTTACTTTTGGTTTAGTCAGCTACTATACACATACATTTATTTATCTACTTATTCCTTTTTATTTTATTTCTTCTCATTTCTCCCTTTCTGCTATTTTATTTGATTATTACTTCATACCTTCATACTTTATACTTTACCTTACAAGTTTTCATTTATTTACATTCATCATCCATGTGCATTCTTTATATACTTTCTTTCTTACCTATTATTATATTATATCTTAAACATATTCTAACTACCTATCTATTCATGGGTGGCTCCTGCAATTCTACTCTATAATTTATTATAACATTTAACATAACTATATTATTACTACCCTGATGGTACTTCGGACACTCGTTTTATATTATCGTATTCTACACGCCTTTCTGGTTTTCAGTTTCATTAATACTTCTAAAGATTTCATGCACTCCTTTTCATATATTACAGGTTATCCCATCGGCCTTTTCCATTTCACCTATGTACATAGATATTGGTTCTTTACCTTTTCTCGGTTATTACATCCACAGTTTTATCATCCTTATAAATATATTTACACGTGGTAGTACATTTTACTTAGAACAATATCTCTTTACAATCTTATCGCACCTTGTTTCTATCTACCTGTCTGTCTTTTACTTTATCTAGTGCATTTATGTATTTCATTTTATTCATTACTTAGTTATTTTAAATGCTTGCATTTTCACTCTTATTTTCACGTCTACAATTGCTACAAGTACTTTTATAACTTACATATACATATATGTATGGTATTATCATGCCATAGTTTCTCACTGTAAAATATTTATACTTTTACTCTTATTTTATGAGTTACTGGCATGGTATTTTATCCAGATACATTTTATTTCATTTTACTATATATATTTTACTTTGGTTTTATCCCACTACATATCTTACTTGTATTTTTATTTTTTATCCGCGGTTTCGTTGTTTTCCGTTACTATATATTCTGTGTATTTTATATATAAAGGCACACTTTTATTAATATGGAAGAACGCGGATTACAATCACGGTAACTTTAACTTTCTATACAAACGCTGGACGAAGAAGAAGACACGCATACCTCACACACATTCGAGGAAACAGTCATACATCTCGCACGCTTTTATTCCTCACGCTTTCTTTTCAACTTAATACATAATTACATAAATTCACTTTGGCTATTGACATTCATTAACTCTACGCATTTTTGTAATTTAATTTTTGGTAAGGACTTAGTTAATACATCCGCTGTCATTTCACTCGTGCTTAGGTAATATATACTTATTTCGCCGTTTTCCTCCAACTCTCTAACATAGTGATATTTAATGTCTATATGTTTGCTACGGCGGTGAAATACATTATTTTTCGCTACGTGAATCGCGCTTTGATTATCACAGTACATGGTAATTTTTAGTAATTGTAGGGTGATTATTAATTAATTTATAAAAGTGTCGTATGCTTAAT